TTGCATCAACTATAGGGCATTGAACAAGATCACCATCAAGAACAAGTACCTAATATCTTTGATCAGCTTGGAAAAGCTAAATACTTCTCTAAGCTTGACCTACAATTAGGGTACTATCAAGTATGCATTATCGCAGGTGATGAATCGATGACGACTTGCGTAATGAGATATGGAGCATTCAAATTTCAATTCATACCCTTTGGACTAACGAATGCACTAGCAATATTCTACACGCTTATGAACAAGTTGTATAGAAATACCCATGAGGAACATGTTTAACACTTGAAGAAAGTCTTCCAGGTACTCTCTAATCATGAACTCTACATTAAATTGAAAAAAAAAATGTTCTTTTGCCAAACAAGAGGTAGACTTCTTGCGCCACAAGATCAAGGATGGGAAGCTCATGATGGACCTAGCTAACGTTCGAGCCATTCAAAAATGGTAGCCTCCTGCTAAAGTCCTAAAGCTAAGATCATTCCTTAGGCTAGTGAACTATTATTATCTGTTTATCAAGGGATACTTAACGATTATTGCTTCATTAACAGATTCACTCAAGAAGAATATATCTTGGCAACAAACCAAATATTTTAAGGATGCTTTTGAAAAGATAAAGCAAATGCTCATGCAAGAGCCTATCATGTCCTTACCTAACTATTCCAAGCCTTTTGAGGTACATACTCATGTCTCAAACTTTGCAATTGGGGGTGTGTTGATGTAAGAAAGACACCTTACTACATACGAGAGTCGCAAGCTAAATGACATAGAGAGGCACTATATAATACGAGAAAAAGAAAATGTTTGCCATCATTCATTGTCTCCAGACCTAGCATCACTACTTACTTAGAAATAAGTTCACTATAATGAAAAACAACGTCGCTATGAGTTATTTCCAAACACAAAAAAAGTTCACCCTAAAGCAAGCTGGTTGACAAGATTTTCTTGCCGAGTTTGATTACCAATTAGAGTACAAGCCAAGAAAAGCAAATATGGTGGTAGATGCATTAAGCAAAAAAGCTGAGTTAGCTATTTTCTCAACAAACATGCCCCAGACTTCCTTGACAAAGTCAAAGAAGGTTTGTCTCAAGATTTAGTAGCAAGTGATTTGATGAAGCTTGCTAATGAAGGGAAAACTCAAAGGTTCTGGGTAAAGGATGAGATACTCTACACCCTTGGGAACTGAGTTTATGTTCCAAAATGAGGCAACCTTTGAAGAGACATCCTTAAGGAGTATCACAATTCAAAGTGGGCTGGCTATCTAGGTATGGCACAAACACTTGCTCTCATACAAAACCACTTCTATTGGCCATATATACAAGAGGATGTTGAGGCATATGTGAGGACCTACTTAATATACTATACTAGCAAGATAAGGTTAAACATCAACATCTTATTAGTCTACTCAACCTCTGCCGGTAGTTGAAAGACTATGGGAGAGTGTCTTAATGAATTTCATAGTTGCTCTCCCTAATTTTGAAGGATATGGGAGTATTATGGTGGTAGCTAATAGATTCAAGAAATATGCCACCTTTATTCCAGCCCTTACGGATTGCAAAGTTGATGAAGTGGCGTGCTTATTTTTCAAGCATGTTGTAAAGCTATAAGAGATTCCTGAAAACATCATCAGTGATTGAGATCCTTAATTCACCGAGAAATTCTAGAGAATTATTCAAGCTCTTAGGGACAGACTTGAACTTCTCAATAAGCTTTCATCCTTAGAGTGACGGATAAACATAGCAGATAAATGCTTTATTGGAGCTCTACCTTCAACATTACATGAGTGCTTATTAACAAGACTAGTTGCTTGATGTAGCTCAATTCTCTTACAACTTGCAGCAAAGTAAGTTGACAGGTAAGAGTCCCTTTGAGATAGTTACTGGGCAACAACTTACAGCTCAATTCTCTTACACTTGCCATACCATATAAGAGAGACAATCTATCTGTATATAAATTTGCCAAGAAATGGCAAGAAGAAGTAGACATCACTCATGCAAGCTTGGATAAAGCCTCCCGTAGGATGAAGAAGTGGGAAGATAAGAAGCGTCACCATATTGAGTTTCAAGTTGGTGACTTGGTGATGATGAAGTTATTGCAAAATCAATTCAAGTCACCACGCAAAGTCCACAAATGTTTGGTCAGGAGATATGAAGGCCTCTTTTCCATTGTCAAACGTGTGGCAAAGGTTTCATATCAAGTACAACTTCCTCCTAAGCTTAAGATTCATCCTATCATTTATATTAGTCTCTTGAAGAAATATTGCAGAGATAAAGAAGATCTATCTTGAGATGTCTCCAAGAGAGCACTAATAGCAGTCGTCACTGAGTATAACAAGGAGATAGATGAGATCCTCGTTGACAGGGTGATAAGAAAGAGAGGAGTTCCCAACTACATTGAGTACTTAATCAAGTGAAAAGGTCAACCAGACTCTGAAGCTAGTTAGGAAAGTGAAGACCTCCTGTGGCAATTCACTGATTAAATCCAATGTTGCAAGGAGGAAGGCATGACAAGGGGATCGTGAAATTAAGTGGGCAAGAATGTCACGATTCGTGATTTTTCATAAGGTTACGGTGGTCTAAAATGCTCTAGAACCCTCCAGAAAGTCTTAGTTAACATTAAGAGAGCTAGAGTGTGCAAGAATATTCTAGAGAAATCTACACAACTCTAGCCTCAGTATTTTAATATTGTCTCTAGGTATTTCTATATAAATATCTAGATATTTATTGTAAATATCTATGAGAGAATTCTAGAGAATCAATTATAGCCATAAGATCAATTCAATTTCCACCGTCTATTAAGGATTTGGAATTTTTCTAGCTTCAAGGGGAGGTTTATAAATACCTCACCCTTTCTAATTTGTAACCATCCTTGAATTCTCAAGTAATACAACTCTCACATTCCCTAAACTCTCTCTCAACTATCCTTTGCTCTCAAGCTTTTCCTTTCCTCAACTTAGCCAAACATCATCCTTTTCAACAAATCAAGCTTACTTAACATCTTCCAATGAAGATTGTCTAAATGTCACGTAGGTTGAAAAACTAGCCCCGTAATAACACACAACCCAACACCAAGCTACCTTATAATGAGAAGCCATTTTTTGTTTGTTGGCTCTGTGAACAATAAAATGTATCTAGAGCCATGTAGCCACTTTTTCAAGCTTTTGGCTTGGTGAAACTAGTATTAAGGATATATTGATGATGTAAGATATTTTTTGGAAGATTGAATGTCCCAAAACAAAAGGTTTTTTTAGTGTTTCAATATATAATTAATTTGTTTTTTTTAAAAAGTGCTTCTAATAAATAAATTACTTTATATTTATTTTAAAGTAAAATATCCTATTAAATAGAGATAAATATGAAAATATGGTATTAGTTTGAAACTAATTATTTTATTAGGATGAGATTCAATTAAAAATACTTTACATTTTTAATGAAGTATTAATTAGAAAACTGAAATTTATAATGAAGAAAGATAAAAAAAATTAAAATATGACTTGAAAAAATTACTATAAATTGTTGCATCACTATTTTATATTTTAAAAATATTAAAATTAAAATGCTGTGTGTGTGTGTGTGTGTTGGGGGGGGGGCAACGAGAGAATGTAACACACACACACAGTATTATCAGTATTATTGCTTTCAAAGTTGTCATGCCCAGGAAAATTAATCTTTAATTTATTATTTTAATGAAAACAAAACGTGAGGAATATTTCATTTTAGTTTTGTGGTAATGGCTCTTCCAAAACTACCGCATAACAGCATCAAACCATCACTTCCCTGTTCTGCAGCAACGGTGCTCTTCATTTTTCTTCCTTGCCGCCTTCTTTGCATCTGCGGCAATATTTGTTTTTTTTTAGTTTTCTTTGATAATCTATGCTTTCATGATTTTATAATATTTTTTCAGATGCTAAGACTTTTTAAGTTCTCCTCATCCTTCCTTTCCTCTCCTTTGTTTTGCTTGTTCATCAGTTTGATCGGTTGGACTAGTCTAATTTTTCAAACCACTGTTTTGTGGCGAAAATTAGTGTAGGAATTGATTAATGCTTATAACATTATACCTTTATCATGATTAACATCATCAATATAAAATATAAAAATTTAAATATATAACTTTATCACAACTTAAAAATAATTTATTTTTTATCTTAGTTAAAAATATAGTGATACTTTTACTTATAAAATTATTTTTGCATAAAGAAAGGGAGAATATCATGAATTTTTTCCAATAAAAATTCCCAAAAACATTTTAATTAAAAAAAGGAAATATATTTAACATGGGCGAAAATAAATGGAAGGAATGTGCAATTATTTTGTCGATGAAATCAAATGTGAAAAAGAATATCTGGGGTCTAATCTTCACTATTCCAGATTAGACAAACAATCCCTAATGATGCCAATGATGATGGGCAGGCGAGGAGCTAATTAGGGATTTTTTTTTAAAGGAAAATTACATCATAAAACCACCCAAACAAATTATTTACCAACAAAAATTAATAGAAAATGAATTATTATTAAAATAAAAATATAAACATTTTTATTGAAATAAAATTTATTAGTCTTTATTTATAATTAATTTGTTTGAGTATTCTTTAAATGTAATTCTTCCTTTTTTTTAAATATAAGGTCATGGTAAAAACCATATAATAAGATTAAAATCTAATTATATTTAAAATTGAGAAGTTTCTACAATTAGGTGGCCGGTTTTTGAAAATCATAATATTAAATTTGTCACGTGACATCCAATGAGCCAATAGATTGAGACATCAATTTTTTTTTTTTAAATGTGATCAAAATCTTATAGTTAGATCTCTGATTTTCTGAACTAGGGATATATTTTTTTTTTTTAGTTGACCACTGCTACTGCTCTGTGGCAATCAGGCATTGAGCATTGACTTAGGAGAAACCAAGTCGTGTTGGTGACACTGCCACACATCCAATTCCGTTATTCCTCGCCTTGCAATGCTTGAATAAAGTCAGCTCTAGCAGCTGCCGCTACCAAAAAACAGGTTTCCTCCTCCAACATCCCCTTTCCTCCTTTCTACCAACCACTCGATGAATTATAATGCAACTTACAATCAAAGGACAAAAGCAGATATGAGGAAAATACATTCCACGCCTCTCCAAAACTTCATCACGATTTGACCTCTTCAATGCAATAAATTATTCTCATGTTCTTTGGACATATAAATGAAAGTCAAGATTTAGCATATAAATTAACCTCGCTCAACCCCCCCCCCCACCTTGCCTTGAAGAATAGAGGGATTTTTCTATATCTTAAAAACGAGGATAAAGTGCAATTCTGTTCACCCAAAAAAAAGAAAAAAGAAAAAAGTGCTTAAGCTGATTTCATGTTGAATTGAAAAGAATTGACTGTCATCCCTCCGTCAACAGCAATAACCTGTCCATTGATGTAGGAGGCAGCAGGCAGGCAAAGGAAAACCACCAAGGATGACACGTCCTGTGCTTCTGCCATTCGCTTTATAGGCGTTCGGCTTAGTACTTCATTCACAAACTTCTTGTCTTCAATCAACTGTTATCACAGGAAAACAATCAGGAACCTACTGTCATATACATAGTAGGTCAAAATGAAGCTATATAGCCAATTTGACTGCAATACTATAAAAAAAAAAATTATTTTCCCATATACTACATTTTTAAAATTATTTCAGATTTACTATAAATTTAAAAATTAGTTCGATGCATATCTGAATTTAAAAAAAAATTAATATGAAAGGATGGAACTTGGCTTCAATCAAGCCAAATTAATTAACCGCACTCAACCTTGAAGTTGGACACTCCCTGAATTATGCTGTTGTGCAGACATACATGGGAATCACTAGACAAGAGATAAGTGCATGGGAGAAATTGGCAAAACAGTCAAGGATGTACCATACTCATCCTCACATTATGAAGATATACAAAGAAAACACTCACATATTATCAGCAGTCAGCACTGAATTAAATTAAAAACAGATTGGTTCAGAGTTTACGCCAACGAACTAGTTCTCAATTAGTTAATTAATGTACTTCCTTTTCATCTGATTTCAAATTAAATTCCGGCTCAATGAAAAAAGGAGAGGGGCCGGGCGGGATCTTGAAGCATAAGTTAAACAATATAGAGTAAGTGAGATTTAAGATAAGAATTGTACGTGTGCCACAAGTGGTGTTTTTGTACACCAGGGTGCAACGCAGTTGCTCCTTATATTGTCTTTTGCCCATTCACAAGCAAGGTTTTTGGTAAGCTGATTGATTGCAGCTGCAAAAAGAAGCATGTTTAGTGTCGTTCAGCATATAAATTAAAGTTTTGTGAAACATAATCATTGATGAGGAAATGATGGAGAGCAAATGGTAACATGAAAGCACCTTTAGCAGCTGCATAGATGGTTCCAGTACCTAGACTTGTCAGACCCGCAAGAGAGGAAATGAACACAATGCTTCCATTTCCAGATGCTTTTAGGGAAGAATATGCGAGTTGGCACAGATGGTATGCAGATTCCAAGTTGGTAGTCATCATCATCGAATAATCTTCGGAAGTATACTCGCTTGTTGGCTTCCTCACATTCACTCCAACATTGTTTACCTAAGGCTCACCAGATATTTGATAACTCATTTCAATTTCTGCAACTTCTTGAGTGCTAATTCTTGAAAGGATTGAGGGGAATGAAACAAATCTATCAGGACGTTATCACTTGAATTAGATAGCTAATAGAGTTGTATAGAAATGAACAACATGATCCGAGTTTATTTATTTTGGCAGGAATTATTGGAATTACAGATCCGCCCTTGATGAGAATTGGATCATTATGTTGGAGCAATTAGTAGATCCGACATTATTCTGGTAATAATGAATTGATCAAAATCTGAAATTAATAATAGTTGATTGTTGATTTAATTCCAAAAAAGGAAGTGATTCCTCAACAATAAATGTTATTATTCCAATCAATTTATTCCCTCTATAATGAGACAAATTAAATGTCAATTGGATCTTTCTCTTATATGGTAGCCTCTCCCCTTCGCTATAAATAGAGAAGGGTGGTTAAAGGAAGAATTCACCCTAAGTGAACAGTTTCTCTTAAGGTTTCTTTTTGCTCCTCCTCTCTTTTCTCTCTTCGAATCTACTATGCATCTTAGTTTAGACTCTACTAGTTTACACTTAGTATGGGTAATCTAGTAGATCTGGTAAGACTAACTCCATTATTTGATATATTATTTATGTTTAATATTCCTCCAAGAATAATGAAGATATTGGCATTGTTGAGGCAGTAGAAGCATGAGCGAGATAGACAAATTGCAAAAATGCAGGGCAGAACTCACAAGAATGTTCAAGCTGCCGTTGAATTTCGAAGCGACTTGTTGAATGAGCTGCTGCCTTTGGGTTGGAGAAGACACATCACATACCGACCCATAAATCTTAAAGCCCCTGTCCTGCCACTCCTTTAAGCGTTTGTTAAGATCCGCTTCGGTCCTAGAGCAGGTGTAGACGGTGGCCCCAAACTGGGCCAAATCCTCCACCACAGCATGCCTGCACACCGAATAGATAGACACATGAATGCTTGTTGGGAGCTTTAGAAATAGACGTGCGTAAAAATTAAACTAGCTGTGCTAATAGGTTCCTTTCAAAGAGGGAAAACAAATATTCCAAGAAGTAACAAAGCAGAGGGTACGTAGAGAGAAGTGCGATTATTGATTTTGATATTAGAAGAAAAAGAGCAAGGGATGGATATATGATGAACCCGATTCCACGAGTGCCACCAGTGACAAGAGCCGTCGTGTCCTGGAGAGACCATCTGGAGCCCATGGTAGTGTTGCCCTGATCCGCTATTACTAATCCTAGATCTGATCTGTCCTCTTCTTCTTCTTCTTCTTCTTCTTTTTTGATGAGCAGATCCGTCCTCTCCTCTCTTTTTTTCGTTTGTTTAATGCAACGCTGCTGGTGGCATTGTCGTTGTAATTTTTTTTTTTTCCCCGCCTCACAAACCTTTGGGCGGCTTCATTTATAGTACTGTGGAAATGTACTATGAGGTAACCTGCAGGCCATCCGGCACAAGTTGATATTTTGACAGATTAAATTGGACCAACCTGTTAAATAAAATAAATTAAAAAATTTAACCCAATTTATTAACTAGCAGGCTGGCCAACTCTTAGGCAAGCTCGCAAAACACACACAAATATTTAAAAAAAATTTAAAATTGTTCTTTTCATACTCTAACAAGTGTTAATATTCATACATATTTATGTACTTTAATAATTCCTTTTTTATTTTTTATTTTTTATTTTAATATAAACTAAAAAGTGTGTGTTTTATTTTTTACTTCATAAAAATACAATAAATTTACAAGCTGTCCTCAAATTACTCCCTCACTCACAAACAACTAGTCAAGTTAAAGAATAATGATATAAATGCAATTTCTCGTTCTTCCTAAAATACTTAATCTACCTCATTCTTATTATTCTAATTATTATTTTAATTATTTAGATAATAATTATTCCTCGAGCCTGAATCTATAAGTGTTCTCAACTAGTTAGCTAGGATTATTTTTATATGATATGAAATATGCCCTACATTTCTTTTTGAACCCTTCATCTATTAACCTTAACTAAAAGTTAGGCAGTTAGCTATATCTATACACATATTTGCTTGATCTTGATTATTTTTCTATTTCACACTTAGGGTTCATGCAAATTTGGAGTCAAGAAATTCAGTGGCTAGCTTTGAATAATAATTAATCAGATGAAAATAATTAATTCAACTTATATATATAATTGATCTGATCAAATGGTCTAAAAAAATAAAGTTAGGAAGCTCAATCCATGCCAAAGCAATCTCATGCCTTGACAATTTTTTTTTTTAAAAGTAGGCTAGCATGCCAGCCCGTTTAGCCCACATACTTTTATAGTTCAAGTCAACCCAATCTGTTTTCCAAAACAAGCTCATTTTGCTAACTCAACTTGAAAAAAACTACGGGCTAACAGGCTAGCCCGTTGGGTTTAGTCCATTTGCCTGACTCTATTAGTGATGCCATTAGAAGTAGTCAAGGGGCATGACTCATTGCCCCTCCTACCTGCTTGGGACTCGCCTCCTTTCATTCATCTCATTGACTCTAGTGTTTTATATTTTATCATTAATCATAATAATTAGTATAATAATTACTATCATTTAAAAAACTATTTCTTCATATACTCCATTCTACAAATTTGGATCTCAATCAGGCATCTAATTTTTTTTGTTAAGGTTAAGGGTGTTTTTTTTTCCTTAAACTATTTTTAAAAGAACAATGTTACCCTTAAATTACTCATCATAGCAATATTGTTTCTAAACTAATTAAATCAAAGCAATAGTGCCTTTACCGTTTAAATGTCCATTACTATAGCTAGCGAGAGCCACTTTTCATGAGTTAAGGTACAATTTTGTCCCTAAACTATTCTTAAAGGAAATGTTGCCCTCACCATTTAAAAATTATAAAATTAAATAAAAATAAAATATAATAATATTAAATAAAATAATATTAAAAGTATATATAATAAGTATAAGAAAAAAATTTATAGTATGTTACTAAAATGTTTTGAATTAAGAATATTATAAATTGTAATTTTATAACTTATCAAATATAAGTAGGTCTTGGTTAAATTAGATATAAGTAGACTCAAAAGTATCTATATTTGCACCTATAACTATTGACCAGAGCCGTCGTTAATGACTCAATTTGGACCAAAAAAATCATTTTTATAATTGAGTCAAAATGGACAAGAGTTAAGTTGCTATTAAGCTGGAAACTGAAGTTGAATTGAAAACTGGAGCAATTTTCAAAAAAATGGACGGTTTTTAAAAAATCAGATAGTTTTAAACATAATATTAAAAAAGCTTAAAAATTTTTAATAATTAAATCCTACTAAAAACTAACTTTATTTTTGAACAATTCATATATATAAAATATGACTTAAGACCATTTTTTTGTCTAAAGATGTTGATAGTTATAAGTGCAAATGCAAATACTTTTAAGTATATTCATATATAATTTAATCAAGATCCACTTATATTTGACAAACTATAAAATTATACTTTATATTTTTTTATATTTATTTTATATATAGATTTAATATTATTTTTATTTAATATTATTATAATTTTATATTTATATATACATTTAATATTATTATAATTTATTTTTATGATTTTCTAAACGAGGAGGCAACATTCCTCCTTTAAAAATAGTTTAGGAGTAAATTACATCTTAACTCATGAAAAGTGAGTCCTACTAGTTATGGTATCAAACATTTAAACAGCAGGGACAACATTGCTATAATGAGTAGTTTAGGGACAACAATGCTCCTCTGAGAATAGTTTAGGGACAAAATTGCACCTTAATCCCTTTTTTTAAAAGCATATGATGATATGGAACAGATTCTATGGAATTTGATCTTTATAATAGGTTTTATGCTTTATTACATTAAAAAAGAAAGAAAGAAAGAAATAGTTTTAGATCTATAGGGTTGAAGGAATTACATTTGGGTCCCGTTTGGTTATTAGAAAGGAATAAAATAAAATGAATTGAAAAAAAATTAAAACAAAAATGAACTAAAATACCCTTACCCTCATGATAAGTATAATAAAATTCATTAATATATACTATAAATATAAGAATCATCACACCCTTTAAAAATTTCATGAAATCATGATTTCCAACCATATAAACTAAATTACTCCCCCTTTTATGATTGTGCTCACCCATTCTCTTTGATTATCTTATTTTTACTTTTATTTTTTAATACATTCTATTTCATTTCCTTTTAGTAAAAACCTTAATTATATATTTGTCAATTCATTAATCATGTTTGGTCGAAGTGGCCAATTAGTATCCGAGGACTAAGCTCACCACCCTCCCTTTCTTAGGTTTGGTTTCCAACTTCCATCCTCCTCCTCCTTAGTACACTATATTACCGATTACCAAGTATATTTAATACGAGATAAAAAATATATTTCATAAAAAAATTGTGGATGTGATTTATAGTCACTAAAGCTAACTATGATGAGGGTTAATTAATTAACTTGTTTTATTTTTTTGGATATATTTATAAAGTTTATTCCTTTTGAAGTTATTTAATGCTAGATAATCACCAAGCTAAGCAGGTTAGATAGCCTAATTAATGGTAACAACTTAGCACCAAATAGAGGTTGGGATGACCCAAACCTTAGTTGGGAATATTAAAAGCTCTCACAAGATAAAAATTATGTTTAGATTTGGGGAAAAATTTTAATTGAAGTTAGAGTCCAAATGAGCTTTTTCTCCAAAGCTTATTTTCATGGCTTTTGCATTCAGCATATATTGTTGGAACCATTTAATCAATTTTAAATTTTTATTCTCTCTCTCCATTATCTCTCTACCTACCTAAGACTCTCAACTCTGCTCCACCTTTAATCTATGTGGTCTTTCTTGCTCACCTGTGACCTCTCTCATTTGCGCTGTTGGATCTGACAAGAGATCATAGGCAATGCCGTTGCAACAAGCCAATTTTCGCCGTGTGGGTTGTTCATTGTGATCTCCGGTTGATCTCTAACTTTATCATCCCTTCTTCTTGCATCGAGCATGTCCCTACTCTGAAGTGTGGTTCTCGATGATGAAGAGAATGGAGAAAAGAATGAGGAAGGAGAGAAGCAGGTGGTTCCATAGTCTTGTGCTTCTACCCAGGTGTCATCATCATCACTTTTGAGTTTTGCTTCATCTGGTTCTGGTTTAATTAGTGATAAGGGAACTTTAGCAATGAGGTCTAGTGAGAAGTTTGCTAGTGGCCTTTTCGATGATCTCATCTATGGAGATATGTACATCTTGATTGAAAGACTAGGTGGAAGGGTGGTCGAAGTGGGGCGATGACAAGGTCCTCTTCTTCTTGCACAATCACAAAAGCACAGACATGCTCGTGGGAGAGGGAGAGCTTTTTCTTACTTTTTATGAACAAAAGTAGGAGAGAGCTTGAAGAAGAATCTCTACTTTAGTAACATGTTTAATATATATTAATTTATTTTTGATTTCTTAACTCTATTTTTTAAAATAAATTATAATTTAAAGTTTAATTTTTTAAACAAAATGTTGGTTAATCACAAAGTTTAAAATTTTTTTTAAAAAACCAAATTAATCACAAAAATATATAATAAAATTTATGTCCTTTACATCTAAATTAATTTTTAAATTAAATCATCCAAATAAATTTTAATTTATCTAATTGACTTTTAAAAAAAGGTGTCTAAACATAAATTACGTTAAAGTTACAGACATTTTTTTTAAAATCAATTTGCTAATCTCAATTGAGTCCTAACCTCAATTGCATATTTTTTAATCCAAACATACAATTATTGTGTGTGGTTTTTCATTGACTAAAAATCAATTTGTTAAGAATTTATTTAATAAAAGTCAGTTATTATAATGAAATATATGTTTGAATATATATATATATATATATATATTTTTAAAAGTTAGTTTGATAAATTAAAAGTTGTAGTAAAATATATTTTAAATGTATAATTACTAAAAAGGACATTAATATTTGATGATTGCCATTTTTGTTATACAGACATAATATATTACAAATGTTTAAAAAATGTGATAAAAATTTTAAATAAAGTAAAATGTGATATGTTAAATACTAAGGATAAAAACTATAAAGTTTTATATGTTGGAAAACAATTACTCCCTCCATTTAAAAATATAAGGCATTTTATGAGGAGTTGTATATTTAAAAATATAAAACATTTTTAGTCTTTCGAGATATAATCATTGCTTTTTTTCCAAAAGTGCCCTATTGATAATAACTTTATATTTATTGTAGGGTGTTTAATAGGGGTAAATATGAAAAGATAGGGTTAGTTTAAAAGTAGGTAATTACTTTATTAGGGGGTGAGATTCGGTTACAAATATTTTACATTTTTGAACAAATGGAGTGTATAATAAATAATTCAACA